ACCTGTAGCTCGCCAGCCCCTTACAGGTAACTACCCAAAGGATTTAGAATTCAACACATGATTTTGAATGATTCACTTTTGAGCCATTACACATCTCTTATAGGAAAAAAATATGGGGGTTTACAGAATTATGTTGTTTTTTACTTGTGTTTGCCATGTTTTCAAGTAGTTATTAAATAGATTTGAGAAATTACGACTGCTCTCCGCCTTTTCTGCTGTATAAAAGTAGCTCTAATTGAAAAAGGATGGTATGCGGTCTTGTATGAATGGGTGAACGTGGCTCAGTTGGTAGCGCATTGGCTTTTAGGCCTGAAGGTTGTGGGTTCGCTCCCCCCACGAGACCTTCTCCAACTGCTCCTGCTCATGTTTGCTGTCGTTGTGTCCTTGGGCAAGACACTTAAACCCATGTTGCCCAAAGCTCACGCTGAAAGGCTGTGTCACCATTGACGGAGGGGCAGCCATGATTGTCACTCCCCCCGACCCAGAAATTGACTAATAACGGGGTAAAAAATGAATGAATGAATGTTTGTATGGAACAGTGTATGTAGCGTGGTGTTTAACTTTTTTCTGTGTTGTGTTATTAAGTGTGATGCGGAGAAACACACGGGAGACGGACTTCGAGGCTTTCTTTTATCTGGTCACAATTATAAAACACAGTTAGCATGTGCCTCGCTAACACGGTCCCAGCCCTAACTACAAAGAAACAGACAGCGGCAGGTCAATAACTAATTCAGCAAAAAGGGACAATAAACAGAATTGATGTGAACCTATAGGACATAAAAAGTGTAAATAAGCACAACATTATGATTAAAACAGACTTTTTCAGACCGAAACGGGAAAGCAAAGGTAAGGGTGGCGTGAAAAACAAAACTTGTTATTAAAATACAGTAATAACAGTGTAATTCACAATACACAACACACTCATTCACCTGTTGTACATGTTTTTAGTGATAGCGGAAACCGGAGCACACGGAGGAAACCTACACAGACACGGGGAGAACATGCAAAGCGTGAAGCAGAAGTACTATCCAATGCGCTACCGTGCCGCCCACATAATCGCGGCGAAGCTCCGAGATGGAAGACTGTGACTGGGCCGTTCTCTCTTGTTTTAAGCCAGTGCATATGTTACGGGTCCCGAGCTAAAGCAGAGACCACATGAACAAAAATACTTGAAACGCAATCTGTAAGAAAGTAAGAAAAGCCTCAGAGAAGGAATGACTCAGCACTCGTTACACTTCCGGATTGTGTCTGAGGGTCACGGTCAATTCGGCCCCCCCTACTTCATCTGAGAATGACAGCAGTTCCCACAATACTTTCTGTGTACTCACTAAATTTAAACATGACTACCTTTACTAAATACAAGCTAATTATCTCTAAATTACAAACAAGTTTTCGTCTGTCTTTTATTTTGCTCCAAGGACGTTCTTGGCCAATGGAAAATGCTCAGAGGACCATCTTTTTGTGGGTATAGGGTGGGGGTATGTGGATTATGGTGGGGTTGTAGAATGTGGTGGAGGGGTATATTGGGTGAGGTGGGGGTGGTTGTGGGGGTGGGGGGGAGGGGGGGGGGGGGTGGGGTGGGGGGTGGTAGTGGATTAGTAGGGGGTATTAGGAAGGGGGGGTTAATGGTTGGAGTTGTGTTGGAGTTTGAGTTTGGGGGTGGATGTAAGTTTTGGGGGAAGGGAGAAGAGGGGGAGGGGGTGAAGTTGATTTTAGTAATTTAGGGGGGGGGGAGAAGGGGGGGGTGATTATAGGAAGGGGGGGGGGGGATGGTTAGGGGGTGTTTATGTGTGTTATGGGGTATGAGGAGGAGAAGTGTGGATTATTGAGATATTGGGTGTGTAAGTTAAAGGGGGTTGGGGTTTTATTGGGGGGGGTTGGGAGAGTTGGGGGATGGATGGGAGGGGAGAGGAAGAGGGGGGATAGGGGGTTGATTTTTAATAAGATTATGAGTATGGGATGGAATGTGGGTAATGGGATTTTTAGGGGGGGTTTTGTGGGGGTTATGAGGAGTGTTGAGGGTGGGTTTTGGAAGGTTTGTAAGAGGGGAAGAAGGGGGGAAAAGGAAAATATGGGGGTGAGTGTGTTGTTAAAGGGGAATATAGGGTAGGGGGTAGGGATAGGAGGGGTGTTAATGGGTGATTTTTGTTAATAGGTATTTATGTAGTGGTGGGGTGATGGGGTTAATTGGTGATCTTGGATAGTATGTGAGTTGGGGAGTGGGGTGTAGGTGGAGTTATGGGGGGAATAGGGGTTAGTGGGATTTGGGGGGGGGGGTTGTGAGGGGATGTATGATTTGGGGTTAGTTATGGGTGAGGAATGTTAAGGGGATATATAAGAAAAGTGGGGGGGGGGAAATGGGAGATGAATGGGGGGGGGGGGTGGAAGTGATATGTGTTGATGTGTATAGTGGGTTGATGTGGTAAGGAGGGATGTGTTGAAGATGGGGGAGGAGAGGGGAGGGGTTGAAATTTTTTGTGGAGATAGGGAGGGGGTGGGGGAGGTGGATTGTAGTGGGGGGATTAAGGGGTAGTTGGGGGGGGTGTAGTTGGAAGGGGGGGTTAGTAGGGGGTTGATAATTTTGTGGGGGGGGAGAGGGGAGGAGGGAAGTATTTGGAGGGGGGGGGGGGGATTTTGTTGTTGTAGGGAGGTGATTTGGAATGGGAGGTTGAAAGGAGGGGGTTGTGGGGGGATTTTGGGATGAGTTTGTTTAAAGTTGGTGATTTGGGGGAGGTGATGGATGGGATAGGGGTTTGGGGGGTGAGAGGTGAGGGGGGTTGTGGTTAGGGGGGGGGGGGGGGGTGATGATTTTTTTTGATGGAGATTGGTGGGGGGGAGTGGATGTTGTTTTATGTTTTTTTTTTTGTTGGGTGGGAGGGGGGTTGGTAATGATGTGATTATGTGGTAGGGGGTATGGGTAGAATTGGGTTAATTAGAGTAGAGGTTGATATGTAGGGGATGTAGTGGTAAGGTGGGTGATATGGGGGGAGGTGGAGAGTTAGAGGGTGTGATTATTATGGGTAGTATGTGTAGGTGATATGGGGTTGGGGGGGAAGAAGAGGGTAGAAAGTTGATTTTAGGGGGAAGGGTGGGGTAGAGGTAGATGGTTGGGAGAAGGAGGGTAGGAGGGGGTTGGTGATATGGGGTAGGGGAGTTATTGAATGTGGAGGGGGGGGGTGTGATTTAGGGGAGGAAAGTGGTTTTGGGAGGGGGGGTGATGTTGTGTTTAATTGGGTGTGGGGGGGGTAGGAAAATGAGAGATAGATTATTGATATGGGGAGTTATGTTTGGTGGGGTGTGTAGGGAAAGTTAGAGGAGGATTGTTTTGGGGGGTGGGGTGGGGGTAGGGGGGGGGAGGGTTTTGATTGTTTTTGTTTGGGGTGGGGTTTGGTTAGGGGTAGAGGTGTTATTTTTTGGGGGGGGGTGATGTAGTGGGAGTGGTGGTTATATTTTATAGGTGGGGGGGAGGGTTGTTGGGGAGGGGGGGGGGTGTGGTGGTGGGGGAAAGGGGGGTTAAGGATAATATAGGGGTTGTGTGTAATTTTGGGGGTAATGTTTTAATGGGGGTGTTAATGTGGGGTTAATGGGTTTAGTTGGTGTGTAATTGGTTGTAATGTTGTGTGGGTGTATGTGGTGTAATTTGGTAATTGTTGAATTTGGGGGAATTTTGTTAATTGGGGGGTTGGGTTAATTTTTGGGTTAATTGGGGTGGGTATTTGGTGGTGTAATTTTGTGGTAATGTGTGTGGGGTAATGTTTTTAAAGTTTTTAATGTGGGTTTGGGTTATTTGGGGGGGTTGGGGAATGGTTGGGTAATTGGTTTTAATTTTGGTTAATTGTTGTGTAATATGTTGTGTAATTGTGTTTAAGTGGGTTGTAATGTTGGGGGTAATTGTTTAATTTGTGGTGGGTAATTTGTTGTAAGTGGGTTTAATGTGGGTTTAATTTTGGTGTAATGTGTTGTTAATTTGTTGGGGGGTAATTTTTTTAATTGTTTTATGTTGGTGTTATGTGTGTGGAGTTGGAGTAAGTGGGGGGGTTAATTGTGGTGGGTAAGTTTGTGTAATGTTGTAAGGTGGTTGGTTTTTTGGGAAAGGTTTGTAATTGTGTGGTGGGTATTGGTAATTTTGGGTAATGTGTAGGTTTTAAGTGTGTTGAATGGTTGTGTTTAATTGGTGGGGTGAATTGGGTTGTGGTATTGTGTTGTGTAATGTTGTGTGTAATTGGGTTAATTTGTTAATGTTGTGTGTAATTGTGTGGTGGTAATTGTTTTAATTGGTGTGTTAATGTGTTGTAAAGTGGGTTTAATTTGGTGTAATGTGGTTTTAATTGTTTGATGTTAGGTTATTTTGTGTTATTTGGGTTGTTATGGTTTTAATTGTTGGAATTTTGTATGTGTGTGGTTATGGGGTGTGTTGTTGGGTAATGTTATTAATTTGGGTTTTTTAATGGGGGGTAGGGGGGAGAGGGGTGGAGGGGAGGGAGTTGGGTGGATAATGATGGGGTATAGATGTGAGGGGTTTTGGGTAAGTTAGTTGAGGGGGGGTTGGAATGGTGTAATTTTGTGGTGTAATTTGTTAATGTGGTTGTATTTTGGTTTAATGGTGTGTAATTTTTATTGTTGGTGGGTAATTTTGTGGAAGGTGGTGTGGGGTAATTAGGTTAATTTTATTTAATTTTGTGTTATTTTGGTTTAATGGTGTAAGTTGTTGGTTGTGTGTAATTTGTGTGTAATGGGTTGGTAATGTGTGTGGTTTGTTAATGTTGTTTAATTTGGGTGGTATGTGTGGGGGTTTGTGGTATTTTGGTGGTGTAAGTTTGGTTAATGTTATGTTATATGGGGTTAAGTATTGTGGGTTGTTGTAAATGTGGTGTTAAATGGGGTTTGTGAAATTTGTGAATTTTGTGGGTGTGGGGAGGGTTTGTTTGGTAAGTGGGGGTTGTTGGGTGGAAGGGGGGGGTTAAGGGATATAGGGGAAGTTTGTAGAGTTTAAAGGTGATATGGGTTGTGGGGGAGGGGTGGGGGGGTGTGGTGTTTTTGAGTGGTTGGGGGGGGAGGTTTTTGTAATTGGGTGTTTAGTGGTAGGTTTGATGTGGATGGTGGATGGGTTTGGTGAGGGTGGGTGATTTTGTTTGGGTATTGGGGGGGTGGGGGTTGGGGGAGGAGGGGATGGGGTTTGGGTGGGTGGTGGATGGAGTGGGAGTGGGGGGGTGGGTTTTTGGGGGTGGTTTGTGAATGATGATTTTATTATTATAAGGGGTGTGGGGGGTGGTTGGTTGGGGGTTGTATATGGGGGGTTAGAGAAGGGTAGTGAAGGGTTGGTTTATTGATGGGGGGTTGGGAGGGTATGAGAGTTTGGTTTATGTTTGTTGAGATAGGGTGGGGGGGATAAGATAGTTGGTAATAGGGGGTGTTAGTGTTGTTGGGGGGGGTGGGTGTGGGTTGTGAAGGTTGGGGTTGGGTGGTTTAGAGTTGTGGGGAAAAGGGAGGATGATGGTTATTTTTGTTAGGGTATAGGGAAATGGGGGGATGGGTGTGGAGGTGTAAGGTTGGGATTAATGATAGTTTAGTAATGGTAAAGATGAGGATGGATGATGTATGGGAAGAGGGGTAGTGAGAGGGGGAGAGAGATTAGGGAGAGAGAGAAAGGGAGAAGAGTGATTTAAGAGGGTGGGGAGAAGGGTAGGGGGAAAGGGAAGAGAGGGGGAAGAAGGGGAGAGAGAGTTAAAGAAGGGAAGAGAGAGGGGGAGGAGAGGGGGAAGAGAGATTGAATGAGAAGGGAGAGAGAGGGGAGAGAGGGGGGGAGAGAGATTTGAAATAGAAGGGTGAGAGAGGGGAGTGTGGGGGGGGGGAGAGAGATGGGGGGGGAGAGGGGGAGAGATGGGGGGGGGGGGGGGGGGAGGGAGGGGGGAGTAAAAAATTGGAAATAAATGATATATGGGGAAAAGGTTTAGGGATGGGGGGGGGGGAGAGAATTAGGTTTTTTTTATTAGGTTTTGGATAGGATGAGGATTAGCAGATGAGGAAGGTTTAATTTTAATATGTGGAGGAGGGAGGGGGTTGTAGGAATAATTGGGTATGATGGTGTAGATGGTTTAAATTTAGGGGGGGGATGGGGGATTGGTTTTAGGTATATATATATTGGTATATGGTAGGTGGTAGTATAGTGTAAGTAGGGGGGTGGGGTGGAAGGTGGGGGGTGGGAGGAGAGGGAAGGGTTTTGGGAAGGGGGTTTTTTGGAGTGTGTGGATGGAGTGGGGAGAATATGGGTGTTTTTGGGGAAGGTGAATGGTGTGGAGTAAGTGGAGAGAGAGAAAAGAGGGGGGAGAGAGAGAGAGAGAAGAGTGGAGAAAGAGGGAGAGGAGAGAGTGGTGAGAGATGAGGGGAGGGAGAGAGAGAGGGAGAGGGAATGAGAAAGAGGGAGAGGAGTGAAGAGAGGAGAGAGAAGAGGAGAAGAGATAGGAGAGGAGAGAGAGGGAGGAGAGAGAGAGAAGGAAGAGAGAGTGTAGAGAGTTGAGTGAGAGAGTGGTAGAGAGTGGAAGAAGGTAAGAGGAGAGTAGAGGGAGAGAGTGAGAGAGAGGTTTGGAGAGTAGGTGGTGGGGTGATTTTTGTTGGGTGTGGAAGAGAGGAGTGAGTGTGGGAGAGAGGAGAGAGGGTGATGAGAGTGGAGAGAGAGGGAGAGTATGGTGGAGAAGGTGTGGGAGAGAGGGGATGATAAGATATGGAAGATGAGGAGTTATGATGTGGTGGGGAGTATTGAGAGGGAGAGAGAGTGAGAGTGAAGAGGAGAGAGAGGAGAGGATATGAGAAGGAAGAAGATGAGAGAGAGAGATTATGAGAGTGGGTGGGGATGTGAGGGTAGAGGGTGAAGTTGGTGGTTATGTGGTAAGTTATGTTAGTTTTGGTAAAGGTAGGTTATTTTTTAGGTGGATTAATTAAATGTAGAAGAGAGAGTGGGGAGAGGGAGGGGGATAGAAGGATTGTGTATATAAAATATATATATATAATAATATAAAATATATATAAATTATATATATATTATATATATATATATAGATAAAGGGGGGAAAAGGGGGGGTATGGGGGGGGGTTAGATTTTTTATTAGGAAGAGGGGGTTAGAGAAAATTAAGATAAGGTATATGTAGAAGAGGGATTAACATGATGAGGTAAGTGTGGAGAAAAGGGGAAGAAAAAGAGAAAGAAATAGGAAGAGGAGGAAAAGAGGAAAGAGGGAAGGAAGAGGAAAGGAATATATGGAGGGGGAGATGTTGGATTGATTTATTGATGGTGGATTATGTTGATTTATTTTATTGGGGGTAGGGGGGGGTGGGGGGGGGGATAGAAGTGTTTATGGGAGAGATTTTTGGAGGAGGAAATATTTTAATTTGTAATGATTTATATGATGGATGTATAGTGGTATATTGGAGGAAGAAGAGGGGTAGAGGTGTGATATGGGTATGGAAGAAGGATGGGTAGAGGTGGTGATATGGGTAGGGAAGAAGGATGGGTAGAGGTGGTGATATGGGTAGGGAAGAAGGAGGGTAGAGGGGGTTTATATGGGTAGGGAAGGTAAGAAATATGATTAGTTATGTGTTATTGGGGGGGGGGATTTGGTGGAAGGTTTTGGGGAAAAAGAAGGAGAAGAAGAGAAGAAGAAGATGAAGGAGGAGGGAAGGGGAGAAGAAGAAAAGAAAAGGGAGAGAAGAAGGGGGATGTTTATAAGGGGAGAAAGAGGATTTTTTAGAGGAGGGGGAGTAGAGGATATATTATATATATTGGGAGAGAAGAGAGGGGAAGATAAGAGGAAGGAGAGAAAGAGAAGAAATTAAAGTTTTTGAGTTGTATGGTGTATTGGAAGATGAGATAGGAGATTGTGTAATGGGTATGTTTTATGATTGGTGTGGATTGTTTGGTAGGAGTTGAGAAGATTATTATTATTAGTGTTGGTTTTGTGTTGTGGTTTGGATGGTGGGGTTGTAGTTGAGGTGGGGGATGATTTAAGAGTTGGATATATGTTAGTTAGGAATAGATGATTGGAGTATGTGGGGATGGTTATTATGGATTATATTGTTATTATTTATGGATTTAGGGGGGGGAGGGGGGTTTTTTTTTAGTTATGGGGGGGAGGTGTGTTATGAGGGGGTGTATTATTAATTGTTATAATGGGTGTTTTAAGTATGTTGATAAATGTTGTGGTGTGGTGGTGTGTTTGGGTGTGTATATGGGGATTTAGTTTGGGTTTATAGGGGAAGGAGATGGGGTGGAAGTAGGGTAATGATGGTGGAATGAAAGGGGAGAAGGTTGAAATATTTGAATGAAAAGGGGGAGAAGATTGGAAAGGATGGTGGAATGAACGGGGAGAAGGTGTGAAAGATTGGATGGAAGGGGAGAATATGTGGAAATATGGAGAATGAAAAGGTGCGTACGGAATAAAATGATCTGATGTGATGGTTACTCGCCTGTTTTGTGGAAATGAAGCCATTTTGGGGGGAGAATGGGTGTGAAGTGATACTGTACCTATATGGTTGGTGGTTTGATGTTAGTGTGGATACATCATGCATCTGCTTTTGAATAATGTCACCACTTATGAGACCACAGATATGTGCCCCGGACAGGGACCGAGGACCGGGACCGAGGGCAGAGGGCGAAGACAGAGGACAGGGGCCGAGGAGAGGGGCCGAGGACAAGGGCCGACTCTCTGCTCCAGATGAACCTGTTGAAGCCGGGGCCCCTCTGTCTGAGGCCTGCGGGCCCCGAGTTAAAAAGAGGAAAGTGTTTTCTCTGAGCGTAAACCACACACACTGTACAAACAGGGGCCAAACGGGTGCGTGTGTGTGTGTGTGTGTGTGTGTGTTGGGTGTGTGTGGGGTGTGTGTGTGTGTGTGTGTGGGGTGTGTATCTCTGCAGGAGGTGACAACGACACAGAGAAACTTAGAGCAGAGGAAGGTCTGGAGTTGGTTGAATCAGCTGTTATTGTAAGTAAGGTCTTTTTGTTCATGTTTAGCTTCTGTTACATCTTTAGATCAGAGACAAGAGAGGACCACCTCAATCTGCCCTTTATGGACCAGAGAGAGACCAGGGAGAGACCAGAGAGAGACCAGGGAGAGACCAGAGAGAGACCAGAGAGAGACCAGAGAGAGACCAGAGAGAGACCAGAGAGAGACCAGGGAGAGACCAGAGAGAGACCAGGGAGAGACCAGAGAGAGACCAGGGAGAGACCAGGGAGAGACCAGAGAGAGACTAGAGAGAGGCCAGAGAGAGACCAGAGAGAGACCATAGAGAGACCAGAGAGAGACTAGAGAGACTAAGATACCAGAGAGAGACTAGAGAGAGACCAGAGAGAGACCAGAGGTCCAGAGAGACTAGAGAGAGACTAGAGAGACTAAGATACCAGAGAGAGACTAGAGAGAGACCAGAGAGAGAAAAGAGAGAGACCAGAGATTGAGAGACCAGAGAGAGACCAGAGATAGACAGACCAGAGAGAGACCAGAAAGAGACCAGAGAGAGACCAGAAAGAAACCAGAGAGAGACTACATAGTCCAGAAAGAGACCAGAGGGAGACTAGAGAGAGGCCAGAGAGAGACCAGAAAGACACCAGAGGGAGCAGAGAGAGACCATAGAGAGACCATATACTGGACTACGGCAAGTTTCTCATCCATGTGGAGAAACATAGACAGAATATATAGAATTATTTTCAACAAGGCCAACTTTATAAAGGAAAGAGCAGCACATACAACATTAAGAGCCTCACTCCCCCAAACACAGCTCCACGGCTCGTTACGCTGTCGTCATACAGTCCCTCGTGTAACTTGTGTGTCGTCGTAAAGCCTTCTTCACTTGACCCACTGAACCCACAGTTTGGGTTTACTGCCGTCTAAATGACTGCTACATTTGGTGGCAGTCTTCACACCGACAGAAAGACTCTGTGTTTTGGTTTCCAGAGACGCTGCCGGCCGTCTGACAGAAGAAAGTGACTTTTACGTCTGTTTTTTTCAGTTTGGAGCGAACCACACACACTGCACAGGTTTACAGGGGCCACACTGAGCTGGCCCCTGGGTGGGCCCTCTGCAGGGGGTAGAGCAGACAGAGAGAGGACCACAGCGCCCCCTCTGGTCATCCCTCTCAGTCATTATGTGGGAAATGTCAGCGCTCTAAACTAAAATACATTTAAATCTCTAACTTTAGTATAATAAAGAAGCAAGCATAAACAGTGTGAGCAGCGATAGAATCGAAATCACAATTTTCTGATCTGTTTATTTAAAATTATTTGTAACAAAATAAATCAAAAGATCACTTTAGTTTGGGAAAATCTCTCTTGATTTGAATTCATGTTGATTTGTCAATGGAACAATTATCTCTGATCTCTTTCTTGTCTGTCTTTTCTCTTTTGTCTCTAGTCTCTCTCTGGTCTCTCTCTTTTGTCTCTCTCTGGTCTCTCCCTGGTCTCTCTCTGGTCTCTCTCCGGTCTCTCTCTGGTCTCTCCCTGATCTCTCTCTGGTCTCTCTCTGGTCCCTCCCTGGTCTCTCTCTGGTCTCTCCCTGGTCTCTCTCTGGTCTCTCTCTGGTCTCTCTCTCTCGTCTCATTGGTCTCTCTTTTTTGTCTCTCTCTCATCTCTCTGGTCTCTCCCTGGTCTCTCTCTGGTCTCTCCCTGGTCTCTCCCTGGTCTCTCTCTGATCTCTCTCTGGTCTCTCTCTGGTCTCTCTCTGGTCTCTCTCTGGTCTCTCTCTTTTGTCTCTCTCTCAACTCTCTGGTCTCTCTCTGGATGATCTGGTCTCTCAGGTCCACATGGTTCTCCTACACTCGTACTGAAGGATATTTCTTCCTTAGTGAACTTTTGTTTTTCTGGTTCCTCTCGTCTTGTTTGTCTCTTTTATCTTTTATCTTTGCTGTTTTCAGTCAAGTCCAAAGCGAGTTCCCAGAAGACACCTGTCTCTGCGACACACACACGGCTCCTGAACAAACACTGAACCCAGACCAGACCCCAGACCAAGGCCCAGACCAGGACCCAGACCAGGACCAAGACCAGACCAAGACCCAGACTGGGACCTAGACCAAGACCCAGACCAGGACCAAGACCAGACCAAGACCAGACCAAGACCCAGACCAGGACCCAGACCAAGACCCAGACCAGGACCCAGACCAAGACCAAGACCAGGACCCAGACCAGGACCCAGACCAGATCCCAGACCAAGGCCCAGACCAGGACCCAGACCAGGACCCAGACCAGGACCCAGACCAGACCAGGACCCAAGACCAAGACCCCAGACCAGGACCAGGACCCAGACCAGACCCCAGACCAGGGCCAAGACCAGACCAAGACCCAGACCAGACCCCAGACCAGGACAAAGACCAGACCAAGACCCAGACCAGTACCCAGACCAGGACCCAGACCCGGACCCAGACCAGGACCCAGACCATACCCCAGACCAGACCCCAGACCAGGACACAGACCAGACCCCAGACCAGGACCCAGACCTGGACGCAGACCAGACCCAAGACCAGGAGCTCAAACAAATGTCTGGTCTCTTTGTGAAGCTGTGGCCCTGTAGTTTAGGCCTTTGATGACTCATTCACTCTAATTTTAAGTGAGAACAACCCACTTACCAACCCTTGACCCAATCACAGGGAAAGACCACACTCCAAAGAACACCTACATTTCCTTGGTAAATATAAAGCAGGGTATGGCTGGTGGATTGGAGGTGTCAGACTGTAGAATGACCACAGTTTGGGTTTTAACTCCCGAGCTTTTCAGTACATAACGACAACACAAGCACAATCTTACAACAGTGATCCAAGATTTACACGTTTCTGTTAGCTTTCTGATTTTATTCTATTTTTTTAGGTTCTCACTTTTCTTCAGAGATATTTTGACAATTCAAAAACATTTTCAGGCACTTGGAAAAAAAGGTCAAGTTGGGTCTGAAAAGGACGTCCTTTGATCTTTCACTTTTCCATTAGTTGTGTGGTTATTTATCATTGATTGACTTAAAAATAAAAATGAGTGTGGAATGGGTCTACACAATAAAACCAGTTGTGAAGAGTGAAGTTACTCTCTGCAGACAGTGATGAAGACCTGTACGTCAGAGAGAGTTACGCAGTGAGATGAAGGAAGAACCCAAAAAACGCAACAACGCAATAAATGATGAAAGATGATTTATTGATGAAAATACAACAAAAGTTCAAAGAAAAACCAAATTCAAAAATAATCAGCCAATCAGAGCTGCCACCCAATTCTCACAGCACCAGTCCCTCGCTGGTCCTCCTGCAGGTGGGGGATTCAGGCAAAGTGGGGTTTCGTGTCTTGCCCAAGGACACAAAGACAGCAGACAACAGTGGAAGCAGACAGAGTAGGTCTTGTGGGGGAATCGAACCCACGACTATTAGGCCCGAAGGCAACGCTCTACAGTATTCATGGCACATTCTATTGTAAATTTTTACCCACTTTTGAGTAAAATTAACTCTAAGAATTTGACACTGACTGTTTGTTGCTTTAAATTTTTTATTTTTCTTGCTTATTTCTACCTGAGATGTTGCTGCAGTACAGTGTTCATGGTTTTACACTGGTCCAGACCAGAGCAGAGAGGATTCATGGTCCGAACCAAATCCACTGGAGGAAGGCAAACTTTATTAAAAATGCTAATGAAGCATTTAGCATTTTATTGTCCACCCAGAGGCTACACCACCTCTGCTGCTGTGACCTGTACTGCTCCACCCAGAGGCTACTCCACCTCTGCTGCTGTGACCTGTCCTGCTCCACCCAGAGGCTACTCCACCTTTTGACCTGTCCTGCTCCACCCAGAGGCTACTCCACCTCTGCTTCTGTGACCTGTCCTGCTCCACCCAGAGGCTACTCCACCTCTGCTGCTGTGACCCGCCCTGCTCCACCCAGAGGCTACTCCACCTCTGCTGCTGTGACCTGTCCTGCTCCACCCAGAGGCTACTCCACCTCTGCTGCTGTGACCTGTCCTGCTCCACCCAGAGGCTACTCCACCTCTGCTGCTGTGACCTGAAGGGCTGTTGCTGATTATTATTCTTATTTTTATTGTTAGCTTTTTAGAATGATCCATTTTATTTTTTATTTTTGCCACTACTGGACACCTGCATTTCTCCCATGGGGATCAATAAAGTATCTATCAATCTATTTGACACCGACCAGAGAGTATATGTGACAGTGATTTCGAGTGGGACGTCAGAGTCACATTGCCACTTGTTACTGTGTAGTAAAGGGTTAAAATATCAATGGGAAAGTTGTCTTTGAGGAGAGTCCCGTCTTCAAAGTGCGTCTGGGGCAGGTGTGCTCTGTGTGTGTGTCTTACGTTTCAGTCTCTGCTTTTATCACGGCGGCTCCTGACGACAGAAGATTTACTGATACGCTTTAAGAGGATCGAGACAGGGAGCAGTGTGTCTCAGAACATCGGACCAGAGGTGGGACCCGGCCTTTGTCTGCCGTCCTCACGTAACTCTAACCCTGTACTTAAACCTCTATTACCCTGTCTCACTGTTTACACAATCTGGACCTAAACCTGGGCTACGTCACCTTCAAACCAGCAGAAACGGAACTATGTATTGGAATCCATCTAACTACAGGAGTCCTTTCGCTCTCAGGACAGTTCTATCACTATTCTTAGGAGTGGGAACTGGAAAAAATGTGATATTGCGCTATTTGGGCCACAATTCAATAATACTTTGATTCTTAACATTTTTGCGATACAGACAGAATCGTGATTATATTTTGTGATGTATTGTGAGTCATGTCCCTCATATTATTCAAAGACGTTACAATCA